GAAGCCCCCCCCCCCCCGCCTTGATTGCTTGAGGGACGGTTCTGATTTCCCTGCTTGGGGAACAAAGACAGCCGGAGAGGTGTCTGCGCGGCGACAGCTTGAAATGGCCAAAGTTTGAATATCCTTGCGCACGGAGAAAAGAGCAAGACGAAAGCCCCGCTAATTACAAAAGTTGCTTTATGAAAGATAATTCAAAGCAATAATTTAGCAAACATAATCAAGTCGCACAGATGGGCTTGTTGATGGATGGATTGCAACATGCAATTAGCAGCTCTTGCAGTTACATATCATTAACCCTCCGAGCACAAAAATTATTTTCTCATTATTAGTTGAAAAGGTAAAATTAAGCTGACTAGACAGTAAAGGAACAAACTACAATTAATTACCTTCATTTATTACAGTCATTATTTTAAACTTATTTTTACTTGGAGAGAGACACGAAAACATCTAAATTAAAAGTTTTGTTATGCTAAATCAGAGGTGAAACTTTTTTAAGGCACGTGAGCACCCGCCCGGCGAGGAGACCTGCTGTCTCCACCTCCTCCTTTTTCCCATGGAGTGGATGGGTTGGAACAGAGACCCTCATCTGGGCCTGACTGAAACACAGCAGTCTGAGAACCAGGCAGGCAGACGTGGCCTCCAGCCCCCAGGGGAGACAGGAGGGCGTGGTGGCCGGACACCCCTGGTCTGAGTCCCATCCTGACCCTGACCAGCCCGTGGGACCTCGGCGGGTGACTTTGTGTCTCGGAACCACTGTTTCCTCGTCTGAAGACAATAGTTCACGGGATCATGCGAGACTCGGGGAGATTCTATGTCGAGGGTCATTTGATACGTGGTCTCATCACGGCAGGTGTGTGGGGCTGAGAACGTTCTCTCTGCCCTTCCGGGGTCTGAGGGGACTTGTGTGGTTCCTTCTAGGAACTCAGAGACAGGCCAAGATATAGCAGATCATCAGCTGAGCTCATGCAGTCACGTATGCAGCCAACAAACATTTGAGGATCTGCCCGGGCAGTGTTCTGGATGCTGGTAGCCCAGTGGAGGTCACACTGGGGGTCACCTCGACCCCTCTTGCCACGAGGGAGAGCCTGTGTTTATGCGACACCAGGAGGACTTCCCAGAGGAGGGGTCCTCTTCTGCTTGGCACCGTGGAGGTCCACTCCACCTACTGCGTCCCAAGCTGCGTGCGAGGCTGGGAAGGCTCCCAAGATGGGGAGACGCCGTCCCCGCCCCCCAGGAATGTCCCTGGGAGCTGAATCCCTGAGGTTACGAAGTAACGTCCAGGGGTCTCGGCGGGAGTCAGAAGGAGGCCTGAGCCCCTCCCCAAGGCTTCTCTTGCTGGCTGAGCAGCAGGTTCACACCCTGTCCCCATAGTGTCCACGCACTCCCCGTCAAGAGGCAGAGTCAGGCGGGGGGCCTGTGGCTCACGCCTGTCGTCCCAGCTACTCAGAAGGCCAGGGCAGGAGGATTCCTTGAGGCCAGGAGCTCGAGACCAGCCTGGGCGATGTAGCAAGAGCCTGTCTCTGTATTTAAAAAAGAGTCGGGCTCGGTGGCTCAGCCTGTCATCCCGCGCCTTGGGAGGCTGAGGCAAGTGGATTGCCTGAGCCCGCGTGTTCGAGACCCGCCTGGGCAGGTGAGACCTCATCTCTACAATAAATCAAAAAATTAGCCGGGTGTGGTAGCGCACGCCTGTAGTTCTGGCTATTCGGATGGCTGAGGCGGAAG